TCTGTGATCCTGGACCTGTAAAAAAGCTTTAAAAACCTGAATATTTTGCAAAAAACTTTTCTCAACTCCAAACATCCTGAAATGCTTGAAATTCCGTTCGGAACACCATTCGGAGCGTTTTCAATCAATATCGAGGTAATACGTGGTGAAAAAGAACTAAGTCATTTTTTACAAAATCTGTGACCCTGGACCTGTAAAAAAACTCAAAAAATCTTAAAATTTTACAAAAATTTTTTTTCGCACAAAACAACCTGAAATGCTTGAAATTACGTTCGGAACAGCATTCGGAGTGTTTTCAATCAATTTCGAGGTCAAGTTAGGAAAAAAGAACCAAGTCTTTTTTCACAAAATCTGTGACCCCGGACCTGTAGAAAAACTTGAAAAATCTTAAAATTTTGCAAAAACTTTTTGCGCTCAAAACAACCTGAAATGCTTGAAATTACGTTCGGAACAGCATTCGGAGTGTTTTCGATCAATTTCGAGGTCAAATTGGGAAAAAAAGAATCAAGTCTCTTTTCACAAAATCTGTGACCCTGAACCTGTAAAAAAACTTGAAAAATCTTAAAAATTTGCATAAAAATTTTTTCGCTCAAAACAACCTGAAATGCTTGAAATTACGTTTGGAACAGCATTCGGAGTGTTTTCGATCAATTTCGAGGTCAAATTAGGAAAAAAGAACCAAGTCTTTTTTCACAAATCTGTGACCCCGGACCTGTAAAAAAACTTGAAAAATCTTAAAATTTTGCAAAAACTTTTTGCGCTCAAAACAACCTGAAATGCTTGAAATTACGTTCGGAACAGCATTTGGAGTGTTTTCGATCAATTTCGAGGTCAAATTAGGAAAAAAAGAAACAAGTCTTTTTTCACAAAATCTGTGACCCCAGATCTGTAAAAAAATTGAAATATCTGAAAAATTTGCTAAAAAAAACATGACTCGAAATCAAATAAAAAGGTCAAGTACCTTCATGTAGTCATTTGAATATATTTTAGTGAGCTTCCAAGTGACATCTACAAAAAAATTTGTGAGCATTATAAAAGGGTCATTTTTCAAAAAATCTGTGACCCCGGACCTGTAAAAAACTTGAAAAATCTTAAAATTTTGCAAAAAAGTTTTTTCGCTCGAAACAACCTGAAATGCTTGAAATTATGTTCGGAACACCATTCGGAGTGTTTTCGATCAATTTCGAGGTCAAATGAGGAAAAATAGAACTAAATCATTTTTCACAATATCTGTGACCCCTGACATGTAAAAAAACTTGAAAAATCTTAAAATTTTGCAAAAATGCTTTTTCGCTCGAAACAACCTGAAATGCTTGAAATTATGTTCGGAACACTATTTGGAGCGTTTTCAATCAATTTGGAGGTCAAATGAGGAAAAATAGAACTAAATCATTTTTCACAATATCTGTGACCCCTGACATGTAAAAAAACTTGAAAAATCTTAAAATTTTGCAAAAATGCTTTTTTGCTCGAAACAACCTGAAATGCTTGAAATTATGTTCGGAACACCATCCGGAGCGTTTTCAATCAATATCGAGGTGATACGTGATAAAAAAGAACCAAGTCATTTTTCACAAAATCTGTGACCCCGGACCTGTAAAAAAACTTGAAAAATCTTAAAATTTTGCAAAGAACTGTTTTGGCTCGAAACAAGCTGAAATGCTTGAAATTACGCTCCGAACACCATTCGAAGTGTTTTCGATCAATTTCTAGGTCAAATTAGGAAAGAAAGAACTAAGTCATTTTTCACAAAATCTGTGACCCTGGACCTGTAAAAAAACTTGGAGAATCTTAAAATTTTGCAAAAAACTTTTTTCGTTCGAAACAACCTGAAATGCTTGAAATTACGTTCCGAACACCATTCGAAGTGTTTTCAATCAATTTCTAGGTCAAATTAGGAAAGAAAGAACTCAGTCATTTTTCACAAAATCTTTGACCCGGGACCTGTAAAAAAACTTGAAAAATCTTAAAATTTTGCAAAAAAGATTTTTCGCTCGAAACAACCTGAAATGCTTGAAATTACGTTCGGAACAGCATTCGGAGTGTTTTCGATCAATTTCGAGGTCAAATTAGGAAAAAAGAACCAAGTCTTTTTTCACAAAATCTGTGACCCCAGATCTGTAAAAAAATTGAAATATCTGAAAAATTTGCTAAAAAAAACATGACTCGAAATCAAATAAAAAGGTCAAGTACCTTCATGTAGTCATTTGAAGATATTTTAGGGAGCTTCCAAGTGACATCTACAAAAAAATTTGTGAGCATTCTAAAAGGGTCATTTTTCAAAAAATCTGTGACCCCGGACCAGTAAAAAACTTGAAAAATCTTAAAATTTTGCAAAAAAGTTTTTTCGCTCGAAACAACCTGAAATGCTTGAAATTATGTTCGGAACACCATTCGGAGTGTTTTCGATCAATTTCGAGGTCAAATGAGGAAAAATAGAACTAAATCATTTTTCACAATATCTGTGACCCCTGACATGTAAAAAAACTTGAAAAATCTTAAAATTTTGCAAAAATGTTTTTTCGCTCGAAACAACCTGAAATGCTTGAAATTATGTTCGGAACACCATCCGGAGCGTTTTCAATCAATATCGAGGTGATACGTGATAAAAAAGAACTAAGTCATTTTTCACAAAATCTGTGACCCCGGACCTGTAAAAAAACTTGAAAAATCTTAAAATTTTGCAAAGAACTGTTTTGGCTCGAAACAAGCTGAAATGCTTGAAATTACGCTCCGAACACCATTCGAAGTGTTTTCGATCAATTTCTAGGTCAAATTAGGAAAGAAAGAACTAAGTCATTTTTCACAAAATCTGTGACCCTGGACCTGTAAAAAAACTTGGAGAATCTTAAAATTTTGCAAAAAACTTTTTTCGTTCGAAACAACCTGAAATGCTTGAAATTACGTTCCGAACACCATTCGAAGTGTTTTCAATCAATTTCTAGGTCAAATTAGGAAAGAAAGAACTCAGTCATTTTTGTCACAAAATCTTTGACCCGGGACCTGTAAAAAAACTTGAAAAATCTTAAAATTTTGCAAAAAAGATTTTTCGCTCGAAACAACCTTAAATATTTGAATTTACGTTGGGAACACCATTCGGAGCATTTTCAATCAATATCGAGGTCATACGTGGTAGAAAAGAACTAAGTCATTTTTCACAAAATCTGTGACCCCGGACCTGTAAAAAAAGTTGAAAAATCTTAAAATTTTGCAAAAAACTTTTTTCGCTCAAAACAATCTGAAATGCTTGAAATTACGTTTGGAACAGCATTTGGAGTGTTTTCGATCAATTTCGAGGTCAAATTAGGAAAAAAAGAACCAAGTCTTTTTTCACAAAATCTGTGTCCCCGGACCTGTAAAAAAATTTGAAAAATCTTAAAATTTTGCAAAAATTTTTTTTCGCTCAAAACAACCTGAAATGCTTGAAATTAGGTTCGGAACAGCATTCGGAGTGTTTTCGATCAATTTCGAGGTCAAATTAGGAAAAAAAGAACCAAGTCTTTTTTCACAAAATCTGTGACCCCAGATCTGTAAAAAAATTGAAATATCTGAAAAATTTGCTAAAAAAAACATGACTCGAAATCAAATAAAAAGGTCAAGTACCTTCATGTAGTCATTTGAAGATATTTTAGTGAGCTTCCAAGTGACATCTACAAAAAAATTTGTGAGCATTCTAAAAGGGTCATTTTTCAAAAAATCTGTGACCCCGGACCAGTAAAAAACTTGAAAAATCTTAAAATTTTGCAAAAAAGTTTTTTCGCTCGAAACAACCTGAAATGCTTGAAATTATGTTCGGAACACCATTCGGAGTGTTTTCGATCAATTTCGAGGTCAAATGAGGAAAAATAGAACTAAATCATTTTTCACAATATCTGTGACCCCTGACATGTAAAAAAACTTGAAAAATCTTAAAATTTTGCAAAAATGTTTTTTCACTCGAAACAACCTGAAATGCTTGAAATTATGTTCGGAACACCATCCGGAGCGTTTTCAATCAATATCGAGGTGATACGTGATAAAAAAGAACTAAGTCATTTTTCACAAAATCTGTGACCCCGGACCTGTAAAAAAACTTGAAAAATCTTAAAATTTTGCAAAGAACTTTTTTGGCTCGAAACAACCTGAAATGCTTGAATTTACGCTCCAAACACCATTCGGAGTGTTTTCGATCAATTTCTAGGTCAAATTAGATAAAATAGAACTAAATCATTTTTCACAATATCTGTGACCCCTGACATGTAAAAAAACTTGAAAAATCTTAAAATTTTGCAAAAATGTTTCTTCGCTCGAAACAACTTGAAATGCTTGAAATTATGTTCGGAACACCATTCAGAGTGTTTTCGATCAATTCTGAGGTCAAACTAGGAAAAAAAGAACTAAGTCATTTTTCACAAAATTTGTGACCCCGGACCTGTAAAAAAACTTGAAAAATCTTAAAATTTTGCCAAAAACTTTTTCGCTCGAAACAACCTGAAATGCTTGAAATTACGTTCGGAACACCATTCGGAGTGTTTTCGATCAATTATGAGGTCAAATTAGGAAAAAAAGAACTAAGTCATTTTTCACAAAATTTGTGACCCCGGACCTGTTAAAAAACTTGAAAAATCTTAAAATTTTGCAAAAAAATTTTTTCCCTCGAAACAACCTGAAATGCTTGAAATTACGTTCGGAACACCATTCGGAGTGTTTTCGATCAATTACGAGGTCAAATTAGGAAAAAAAGAACTAAGTCATTTTTCACAAAATTTGTGACCCCGGACCTGTAAAAAAACTTGAAAAATCTTAAAATTTTGCAAAAAAATATTTTCCCTCTAAACAACCTGAAATGCTTGAAATTATGTTCGGAACACCATTCAGAGTGTTTTCGATCAATTCTGAGGTCAAACTAGGAAAAAAGAACTATGTCATTTTTCACAAAATCTGTGACCCCGGACCTGTAAAAAACTTGAAAAATCTCAAAATTTTGCTAAAAACTTTTTTTGCTCAAAACAGGCTGAAATTACGTTCTGAACACCTTTCAGAGCGTTTCCAATGAAATTTTAGATGATATGTCGTAAAAAGAATACTGGCCTTTATTCTGATTAAAGAAGGTCTTATGAAAAAACTTCAAAAGTATAAAACTTTTGCGAATAAAGAACATGGTTTGAAATAATATAAAAAACGTCAAATACCTTTATGTAGTAATTTGAAGAAAATTCTGTGACTTTCCAAATAATATCTGGAAGAAAATTCGTGAGCATTAAAAAATCATTCTTGACAGAATCTGTGACCCTGGACCTGTAACAAAACTTGAAAAATCTTAAAATGTTGCAAAAAAGTTTTTGCGCTTGAAACAACCTGAAATGCTTGAAATTACGTTCCGAACACCATTCGGAGTGTTTTCGATCAATTCTGAGGTCAAATTAGGAAAAAAGAACTAAGTCACCTGTAAAAAAACTTGAAATATCTTAAAATTTTGCAAAAAATTTTTTCTCTCTAAACAACCTGAGATGCTTGAAATTACGCTCCGAACACCTTTCAGAGCGTTTCCAATGAAATTTTAGATGATAGGTCGTAAAAAGAATACTGGCCTTTATTCTGATTAAAGAAGGTCTTATGAAAAAACTTCAAAAGTATAAAACTTTTGCGAATAAAGAACATGGTTTGAAATAATATAAAAACGTCAAATACCTTTATGTAGTAATTTGAAGAAAATTCTGTGACTTTCCAAGTAACATCTGGAAGAAAATTCGTGAGCATTAAAAAATCATTCTTGACAGAATCTGTGACCCCGGACCTGTAAAAAAACTTGAAAAATCTTAAAATTTTGCAAAAAAGTTTTTTCGCTCGAAACAACCTGAAATGCTTGAAATTATGTTCGGAACACCATTCGGAGTGTTTTCGATCAATTTCGAGGTCAAATGAAGAAAAATAGAACTAAATCATTTTTCACAATATCTGTGACCCCTGACATGTAAAAAAACTTGAAAAATCTTAAAATTTTGCAAAAATGCTTTTTCGCTCGAAACAACCTGAAATGCTTGAAATTATGTTCGGAACACTATTTGGAGCGTTTTCAATCAATTTGGAGGTCAAATGAGGAAAAATAGAACTAAATCATTTTTCACAATATCTGTGACCCCTGACATGTAAAAAAACTTGAAAAATCTTAAAATTTTGCAAAAATGCTTTTTTGCTCGAAACAACCTGAAATGCTTGAAATTATGTTCGGAACACCATCCGGAGCGTTTTCAATCAATATCGAGGTGATACGTGATAAAAAAGAACTAAGTCATTTTTCACAAAATCTGTGACCCCGGACCTGTAAAAAAACTTGAAAAATCTTAAAATTTTGCAAAGAACTGTTTTGGCTCGAAACAAGCTGAAATGCTTGAAATTACGCTCCGAACACCATTCGAAGTGTTTTCGATCAATTTCTAGGTCAAATTAGGAAAGAAAGAACTAAGTCATTTTTCACAAAATCTGTGACCCTGGACCTGTAAAAAAACTTGGAGAATCTTAAAATTTTGCAAAAAACTTTTTTCGTTCGAAACAACCTGAAATGCTTGAAATTACGTTCCGAACACCATTCGAAGTGTTTTCAATCAATTTCTAGGTCAAATTAGGAAAGAAAGAACTCAGTCATTTTTCACAAAATCTTTGACCCGGGACCTGTAAAAAAACTTGAAAAATCTTAAAATTTTGCAAAAAAGATTTTTCGCTCGAAACAACCTTAAATGTTTGAATTTACGTTTGGAACAGCATTTGGAGTGTTTTCGATCAATTTCGAGGTCAAATTAGGAAAAAAAGAACCAAGTCTTTTTTCACAAAATCTGTGTCCCCGGACCTGTAAAAAAACTTGAAAAATCTTAAAATTTTGCAAAAATTTTTTTTCGCTCAAAACAACCTGAAATGCTTGAAATTACGTTCGGAACAGCATTCGGAGTGTTTTCGATCAATTTCGAGGTCAAATTAGGAAAAAAAGAACCAAGTCTTTTTTCACAAAATCTGTGACCCCAGATCTGTAAAAAAATTGAAATATCTGAAAAATTTGCTAAAAAAAACATGACTCGAAATCAAATAAAAAGGTCAAGTACCTTCATGTAGTCATTTGAAGATATTTTAGAGAGCTTCCAAGTGACATCTACAAAAAAATTTGTGAGCATTCTAAAAGGGTCATATTTCAAAAAATCTGTGACCCCGGACCAGTAAAAAACTTGAAAAATCTTAAAATTTTGCAAAAAAGTTTTTTCGCTCGAAACAACCTGAAATGCTTGAAATTATGTTCGGAACACCATTCGGAGTGTTTTCGATCAATTTCGAGGTCAAATGAGGAAAAATAGAACTAAATCATTTTTCACAATATCTGTGACCCCTGACATGTAAAAAAACTTGAAAAATCTTAAAATTTTGCAAAAATGTTTTTTCACTCGAAACAACCTGAAATGCTTGAAATTATGTTCGGAACACCATCCGGAGCGTTTTCAATCAATATCGAGGTGATACGTGATAAAAAAGAACTAAGTCATTTTTCACAAAATCTGTGACCCCGGACCTGTAAAAAAACTTGAAAAATCTTAAAATTTTGCAAAGAACTTTTTTGGCTCGAAACAACCTGAAATGCTTGAATTTACGCTCCAAACACCATTCGGAGTGTTTTCGATCAATTTCTAGGTCAAATTAGATAAAATAGAACTAAATCATTTTTCACAATATCTGTGACCCCTGACATGTAAAAAAACTTGAAAAATCTTAAAATTTTGCAAAAATGTTTTTTCGCTCGAAACAACTTGAAATGCTTGAAATTATGTTCGGAACACCATTCAGAGTGTTTTCGATCAATTCTGAGGTCAAACTAGGAAAAAAAGAACTAAGTCATTTTTCACAAAATTTGTGACCCCGGACCTGTAAAAAAAGTTGAAAAATCTTAACATTTTGCAAAAAAGTTTTTTCGCTCGAAACAACTTGAAACGCTTGAAATTATGTTCGGAACACCATTCGGAGTGTTTTCAATCAATTTCTAGGTCAAATTAGGAAAGAAAGAACTAAGTCATTTTTCACAAAATCTGTGAGCCGGGACCTGTAAAAAAACTTGAAAAATCTTAAAATTTTGCAAAAAAGATTTTTCGCTCGAAACAACCTGAAATGCTTGAAATTACGTTCGGAACAGCATTCGGAGTGTTTTCGATCAATTTCGAGGTCAAATTAGGAAAAAAAGAACCAAGTCTTTTTTCACAAAATCTGTGACCCCAGATCTGTAAAAAATTGAAATATCTGAAAAATTTGCAAAAAAAACATGACTCGAAATCAAATAAAAAGGTCAAATACCTTTATGTAGTCATTTGAATATATTTTAGTGAGCTTCCAAGTGACATCTACAAAAAAATTTGTGAGCATTATAAAAGGGTCATTTTTCAAAAAATCTGTGACCCCGGACCTGTAAAAAACTTGAAAAATCTTAAAATTTTGCAAAAAAGTTTTTTCGCTCGAAACAACCTGAAATGCTTGAAATTATGTTCGGAACACCATTCGGAGTGTTTTCGATCAATTTCGAGGTCAAATGAAGAAAAATAGAACTTAATCATTTTTCACAATATCTGTGACCCCTGACATGTAAAAAAACTTGAAAAATCTTAAAATTTCGCAAAAATGTTTTTTCGCTCGAAACAACCTGAAATGCTTGAAATTATGTTCGGAACACCATTTGGAGCGTTTTCAATCAATTTGGAGGTCAAATGAGGAAAAATAGAACTAAATCATTTTTCACAATATCTGTGACCCCTGACATGTAAAAAAACTTGAAAAATCTTAAAATTTTGCAAAAATGTTTTTTTGCTCGAAACAACCTGAAATGCTTGAAATTATGTTCGGAACACCATCCGGAGCGTTTTCAATCAATATCGAGGTGATACGTGATAAAAAAGAACTAAGTCATTTTTCACAAAATCTGTGACCCCGGACCTGTAAAAAAACTTGAAAAATCTTAAAATTTTGCAAAGAACTGTTTTGGCTCGAAACAAGCTGAAATGCTTGAAATTACGCTCCGAACACCATTCGAAGTGTTTTCGATCAATTTCTAGGTCAAATTAGGAAAGAAAGAACTAAGTCATTTTTCACAAAATCTGTGACCCTGGACCTGTAAAAAAACTTGGAGAATCTTAAAATTTTTCAAAAAACTTTTTTCGTTCGAAACAACCTGAAATGCTTGAAATTACGTTCCGAACACCATTCGAAGTGTTTTCAATCAATTTCTAGGTCAAATTAGGAAAGAAAGAACTCAGTCATTTTTCACAAAATCTTTGACCCGGGACCTGTAAAAAAACTTGAAAAATCTTAAAATTTTGCAAAAAAGATTTTTCGCTCGAAACAACCTTAAATGTTTGAATTTACGTTGGGAACACCATTCGGAGCATTTTCAATCAATATCGAGGTCATACGTGGTAGAAAAGAACTAAGTCATTTTTCACAAAATCTGTGACCCCGGACCTGTAAAAAAACTTGAAAAATCTTAAAATTTTGCAAAAAACTTTTTTCGCTCAAAACAACCTGAAATGCTTGAAATTACGTTCGGAACAGCATTCGGAGTGTTTTCGATCAATTTCGAGGTCAAATTAGGAAAAAAAGAACCAAGTCTTTTTTCACAAAATCTGTGACCCCAGATCTGTAAAAAAATTGAAATATCTGAAAAATTTGCTAAAAAAAACATGACTCGAAATCAAATAAAAAGGTCAAGTACCTTCATGTAGTCATTTGAAGATATTTTAGAGAGCTTCCAAGTGACATCTACAAAAAAATTTGTGAGCATTCTAAAAGGGTCATATTTCAAAAAATCTGTGACCCCGGACCAGTAAAAAACTTGAAAAATCTTAAAATTTTGCAAAAAAGTTTTTTCGCTCGAAACAACCTGAAATGCTTGAAATTATGTTCGGAACACCATTCGGAGTGTTTTCGATCAATTTCGAGGTCAAATGAGGAAAAATAGAACTAAATCATTTTTCACAATATCTGTGACCCCTGACATGTAAAAAAACTTGAAAAATCTTAAAATTTTGCAAAAATGTTTTTTCACTCGAAACAACCTGAAATGCTTGAAATTATGTTCGGAACACCATCCGGAGCGTTTTCAATCAATATCGAGGTGATACGTGATAAAAAAGAACTAAGTCATTTTTCACAAAATCTGTGACCCCGGACCTGTAAAAAAACTTGAAAAATCTTAAAATTTTGCAAAGAACTTTTTTGGCTCGAAACAACCTGAAATGCTTGAATTTACGCTCCAAACACCATTCGGAGTGTTTTCGATCAATTTCTAGGTCAAATTAGATAAAATAGAACTAAATCATTTTTCACAATATCTGTGACCCCTGACATGTAAAAAAACTTGAAAAATCTTAAAATTTTGCAAAAATGTTTCTTCGCTCGAAACAACTTGAAATGCTTGAAATTATGTTCGGAACACCATTCAGAGTGTTTTCGATCAATTCTGCTTGAAATTACGCTCCAAACACCATTCGAAGTGTTTTCGATCAATTTCTGAGGTCAAACTAGGAAAAAAAGAACTAAGTCATTTTTCACAAAATTTGTGACCCCGGACCTGTAAAAAAAGTTGAAAAATCTTAACATTTTGCAAAAAAGTTTTTTCGCTCGAAACAACTTGAAATGCTTGAAATTATGTTCGGAACACCATTCGGAGTGTTTTCAATCAATTTCTAGGTCAAATTAGGAAAGAAAGAACTAA